ACCTCTAAGTGTTGAGCCCGACGACTACAAAAGTTTTGTGACCCAATTCGATCCCGACGACATAGCCACTCAAGAGATAGTCTCGAGCTCGAGGACAATTTGATGATATTTTTTCCAGCCCTTGGTCGAGCTCGAGACATATGTCAGGGTTCCCAATGCTCGTAGCATGTCTCGAAGAGGGGACCTGCCCGGGACAGGGCTTTTTGGAGATCTTGCCCGTAGCATGTCTCAAAGGTGTCTGCGCACGACAGGGCTTTTTGGAGATCATGCCCTTAGCATATCTCGAAGGTGCCCGCGCGTGGCATGGCTTTTTGGAGATCATACCCGTAGCATATCTCAAAGGTGCCTGTGCGTGACAAGTCATTTAGGAAAACACTTGGACAAAGTTTGACGTTGGTTGTTACCCAACTATCATTTCATATGACGGAAAGAGAAAGTGCATGGGGCATGCAAGCCCAATCAAAAAGTAAACTAACTAGAAGCAAGGAAAAGACTATGGGGCATGCAAGCCCGTAATGAAAATAAAACTGAGCTGAACCCCACAGACGAGGTGGGGACTATTACTTGTGATAAATTTTGAGATTGCCAGCATCCCAAGGTCTTGATAGTGATCTTCCAGCCATGTCTTGGAGCTTGTAAGTCCGAAATGAAACCAAAACTAAGCTCAACCCCACATAGAAGGTGGGGACTTCTACTTTTAATAAATTTTGAGATTGTCAGCATTCCAAGGTCTTGGTAGTGGTCTTCCAGCCATGCCTCAAACTGTATGCTCCTTTTCGAACTTGTCTAATGACTTCATAGGGTCCTTCCCATGTCGGACCAAGTTTACCAGGGGCATGACCTGCAGCTTCGACTTTTCCGAGCACCAGATCTCAGACCCTAAACCTTTTGGGTTTGACGTTGTTATTAAAATATTTTGCCGTCCTATTTTGGTATGAGGCGACTTGTAGGGCGGCTTGTTCGCGCACCTCCTCGAAGATGTCAATGTGCTTCGTCGTTCGTTCCCTGGTACTGTGCCCCAAACGCCTCAATAATGGAAGGCTAATTTCAATTGGGATAGTGGCCTCCAACCCAAAAGCTAGCATGAATGGGGTCTCACCAGTAGTCATCTTGTATGAAGTCCTATAAGTCCACAACATAGAAGGTAACTTATCGGGCCAGTTACTAGGAGCACCTTCGATCCTTGTGCGAAGGTCTTGCAGTATAATCCGGTTAGTCACCTTGGCCAGACCATTGCTCTGAGGGTGTGAGACCGAGGTTAGGCGATGATCTATCCCAAGGTTGGCACAAAAATTCTTGAACTGTGCATTGTCAAATTATATCCCATTGTCAGTTATGAGCACCTTAGGTATCCCGAACCTGCATATAACGGACTTCCAGATGAAAGACCTTAGCTTGGGTTCTGAGATCGTTGCTAGGGGTTCCCTTCAGCCCACTTCGTAAAGTACCCTACAGCCACAGCCACAAACTTTAACTGTCCTCTTGCCATTGGAAAGGGCCTGAGAATATCAACTCCCTACTGTTCGAAAGGGACCGAGCAGTGTATGGTGGTGAGCTCTTCAGCAGGGATATGAATGACATTCCCAAATCTCTGGCACTTATCACATTTCTTCACGTAGTTTGAGGTATCTTTCTTCATGGTTGGCCAATAGTATCCGTACCTTATGAGCTTAAACAATATAAGCTCATCTTCTCATCTTCCTTTCAAATGCTCCTTCAATTTGCCCTACCACAAGCTGCGAATCGCTAAAGAGCTAGACGTGTTCAATTCCCAAGCTATTAGCAAGTTCAAGAGCAATGACCATAACCTCATATTCAGCTTCATTGTTGGTAGCTTCAAATTCGAATTTGAGTGCGCATTGAATACTGGTTAGTTTGTCCGGGCTGATGATAATGACACCTGCACCAGAGCCCGAGGAGTTGGATGCTCCATCAACAAATATTTCCCAGACATCCCCCATGGTAGTTGGGATGTCCCCTGGCCGCGATGAAGTCCGCTAGGACTTGTCCTTCGATAGAAGGTCGGGGTTTGAACTCTATATCGAATTCTCCAAGTTCAACTGCCCACTTCAACAATCTTCCTAAAACGTCCGGCTTTTGAAGTATCTATTTGAGTGGCTAGTCCGTAAGCACTAAAATGGGGTGTGATTGGAAATATTGTCGTAGCTTCCTAGCTGCCATAACCAGTGTAAGGGCAAGTTGTTCTGCCAGCGTGTACCTTGTCTCTACG